CTAAATTATTGAGAACATCAAACAATATTAAGTTTCATCCTATTTGGTAACTGACAAGAAAAACTCATCCTTTCAAAAACTACTAAAAAAATTCCTTTAAAAATGAATTGCAAAATGAATTGGAATCCTTTCAGCAATTGATGCCATGAGCTGTGTCCTGGAGGATGAGGATGACCTAGACCTGAATTCCTTAAGTGGAATTGCAGGCACTTGCGTAAGTGCTGATGGCCCAAGGAACACTGACACCTCCAAGGCTGGGCAGCACAGGGAATTATCCAGGGACAGGGAGGCCAAAACCTCCCCATGATGTCATTAATGTCTAAAAGGGACTGGGAGAGGAAGAGAGAGAAAAAGAACGTTTGGATCCGAGTAATCCCCCAAGGTGCATGTGAGCTCAGCGAGCAGATTCACGTCTGAGATGTCAGACTGTTCTCTGGAGCAAACCCTGCAGATGCCAGGTGGCTTTAAAGAACACATTTCTGCCAGGCTGACTGTGTTCTGTCACAGCTTGAGCTGTACACTCCCCTCATCTGGCAGGCAAGGATGGAATCTGATATGGCAGTGGTTGATATGGAAGAGAAATTAGAGAGGAACTCCCCACTTGAAAGTCACTTATCCCAGGAAAACACCTAATGTATTTAATTAACATAACCAATTTGCTCCAAATCTGATGATGCCTAGAAAGTTTTCAGGATCTTGAATTTTAAGCTTGGAAAGGTTTACTTTAACCATTTCTTCAGCAATTTTGTCCTCACTGTCCAAAAGCAAGTTCAGAGATTAATTAGGAAAGCATAATCTTTCTTTACTAATAGCCAAAGGAGAACACAACATAATTTTCATTGTGGCATAGTATTACTGTTAAGAGATGAAAAAAACTTCATCCACCCCTTGAAATCCACATTGCACTTCTTCATTTCAATAGAGAAAATCTTTTTTGCAAGACAGCAGCTCATTTTTATGTGCACTACTGTCTTGCTGGGATGGAAATCCAACCACAGCATGTCAGGAGGAAACTCTGCAGTGATTTTAGCTCAGATGTGCTGGGCCCCACTTGTGGTGTCAGGTTTTGGGGTGTTGGCAGTGCACTTGCTGTGGTGTTTGTAACAAACACTTAACCACAACAAGGGACCTGCAGCAGCCACCCAGCCCAACCTGGTCAGCTCAGGGCTGGCAAAAGTTAAAGATGCTGCTGAGGGCATTGTCCAAATGCCTCTAAAACACTTGGCAGCCCTGGGGCACTGTGGCTGATATTTCATCAATTTAGAAGGTTCATTTGATGGGAAGGTATTTGTTTATCTCTCCATTTCATTGAGCTTTGTCTGGATCACAGTAAAAAACATTACTGAACATAAAGTTGCATATTTGTTTAGATTAAAAGTAGAGCTCTCTCCCCTGGAAGGATAGGTTTTTCCAATATGATAAAAGAAATACAGTATCACAGCATACACTTGCATGTACAATTCATGGATTAGGAATACACCTTAAATAATTTAAACTTAATTTAAATAATAAAACCCCAAAAAACTAGTAAGTTTACTTTCTTTCTACAGTTGCTCACTGAAGTACTCAAACCTATCTTACACATCATCTGGACAGCAATTAGAGACTGATGGGTACCTGCTGCAACACAGATTCAATAGAACACAAACCCACAGCACAGATATTCTGAAAACTCTGGAAAAAAACTCCAGAAGATGCTACAGTGATAGAATAAGAAAATATGCATCCTTCCTGTCAGAAGCCAGCTTGAAGTATCCATTCAAATATAATGAAATTTCAGTGTTACCCTTCTAGGACTAAACAGCAATTATTTTTCATAATTAATTATTTCATAATAGGCAAGCTTTAGTCACTTCAAGCAAAAATGTTCTGCTCCAACCCAACAATTTGTTTGGCTTTTTATCCTGCTTGTAGACCAGACACTCATCAACCTCTCAGGTCTCTGGAGAGTTGTGGCTTCAGGGAACCCAGGAGGAAAAGGCAAATTTGGAAAGCCATTTATCCATCTCACTAGAATTGAGACGTTATGGTTTTCATCCTTCGCCCTCTCCCCAAAATACCAAATTTCCACCATCAGAGCCCTGTGAATAAACAAACATTTTGTTAGTGGGCTCAGGAAGAAGGAAAGCACAGGGCTGTGAGGGACAGAGAGGAGAGGAGGGCACTGTGTGCTCGGGAGTTTATTTGTTTATTTGACTGCATTGCAGACAGTCAACCAAAGAACATGCAGATCATATATTTTTAAGCATTTCATAATGTCTTATTATTAATTCCAGCCAAAACCACCAAGACTAAAATTATCTGGAATTGGTGCTTGTGTGTCCTGACCCCAAAGCCAACAATGGTTGCATAAAGATGTTAAATACCTACAGTCCTCTCAGGTTGAATTTTTTTTTAATCTATTACAAGGCAGTGCACTTTAAGAGTCTAGAGAGAAGACAGGTCTCCACAACTAACAAACTGAAATGTGGTCCTGGGTAAATTTTACTTCCAGGAAACCAAAATGTTGCAGTCCTTGAGAGAGGGAGGCTATAAGCAGAGGGCTCTTCTAAAGGAAGGAGCTTTTATTGAAGCTGTCACTTGTCATTAAACACTCCATATTTTACCTTAGCCTGATATTTTCATTAGAGCATACAGACCTTTTTCATCTGTGAATGAAAGCATTCCCTTCAGCCTTGTGCTGAATATGGGGAAAGGCTCTCTAAAATCCAGCCCACACAAACAGGACAATTATGTTCACAAAAGCAGGAAAAGCACTAGGGAAAGTCAAGTAACATTAATACCATGATAACTTGCACACTTCAGTGTTGACTTACACATCACACTTCAACCTTAAATTATTTAATACATTTAATAATGTCCATTTTTAATGTCAGAAAAACTTGCATATAATTATATAGAAAGCACAGACACCAGTGCAGAATAAAACACAACATAAGTAAAACGCAAAAAACTGTGCACTGCTCTACAGAGATCTCTAGCTGGAAAACCTGAATGGGAAAAGGTAAAGATATCCATGCTGCTATTCATATTTTTATATCTATGATCTCTCAACTGATTAAAACACTTTATAAGTAAAGAATTGGATAATTGCAAGGGTGGCTATACATTCTTAAGGAACTCTGATATAAAGCAGCATCATTTCTTTCCACCACTTTTTTCTGAGCACTGCTACCACCAAAGCTGGACCATCTCCTTGATGTAGCAGAAACTGGTCTAAAAGAGTTTTAAAAGGACTTAAAGTTCTCAGTAACTGAAATATCACTCTCTGCTCATTACTGTGTAGTACAAACATTTTACATAATTTGCTGTCTCTCAAAGAAAAAAAATAAAAGACAAAAAAAAGAAGAAAGAAAAAGTGGTTTCAGTATGCAAATAGAAGCTGAGACAAAACACATTTCAGGCTTTTTTCAGTGTGTTACATATGTGAAGAAGGCAGAAAAATGAAAAGGAAAATAATTATTTGTAGGGGAGGGCCAGAAAAGGAAGCCATCCCTTTTAAAATCTGGAAGTGTTACATAAAAACAAAGATGATGGTCTGATGGAATGGTGTCACTCAATAAATAAATATGTAATTGCAAGGCAAATGTCAAGCACCAGCTGTCTTTTCAGACTTGAAACATAGATTTACTCAAAGAAATCTAACCAAATATTGTAGTAGTTTTAGGAATTTTTAAAGACATTTCAGTAATACCAGGAGGATTGTGTTATTTAAACGTAGCTGCCACACAACGAGAGCCTTGTGAACTGCCACAGCATTACAGCCACAAAAGCCATCAGCAGATGTAAAAATCCCACATTCCTGCCTTTTGTAGGGGTCTGCACTTATGAAATCATTTTCATACACTTGGAACTTAACTCTTTCAGTGCCCTGCACATACAGGACTGGAGCTGATGGATAAAACCAGAAAATCTGGGAGCATTCCCCATGGACAAATGTTTCTGTGGTTCTCCCAAAGTTTTAGCTGAAAACATCCCCCCAGCATCCCACAGAACAAAGTCAAGGAGTTTCTGTTTGAAATAAGGAGAGAATTTATCTTTACTAGAGAACCCTTAGGATGTGTTCTGTGTCTTCACTGTAGAGGTATTAAGATTGGTGGCTGATAAAAAGAAACAGGATTTAACCTAGGATAACAGAGGAAAACACCAAAGAAAGGCTTGCTCTTTAAAGATTTACAAAATGAAAGACTACAGGGTAGGGTGCAGCTTCCATGTTTATTTTCACTCACCAAAAAGAAAGTTATTTTTGTCAATTAAAGAAAACACGGTCAAAATGTTTATTATCCCCACACTTAACATCATGGTGTCTTTGCTCTACTCCAAGCCACTAATTCAATATTTTTATGACAGCAATTGAAAACTTACCGTTTGATCAACCTCCTGCAGCTAATCTCAACACACAGCACACACTGAGGAATATTTCACTTTTATACCAGTGACTTGCTTATGCCTGGGCAGATCTGAGGTGACCAGATAACTCTGTGAGCAGCATGATCACCTCAGAAATAAAGCCAACTGACCAGTAAGAACACCAAGAATTCATGAGGTAAATAAGGATTACACTTAGAAAACACCTCCAGTTAGCCCACAACAATTCCAGCTTTCTCTAAGAATACTTACCTCCTTATCTTTCATTTACTGAAGAAAAGACACCAGTATAAGGTAGAAACAGCTGGGAAAATACACAAAACAGCTAAAGAAAAAGGCTGTTAGGAGAGCAGAGAAGAAAGAAATGTCACACCAATCTCAACACAGAATTGATATCATTATTTCAACGATGCACTTCATAACCAAGCTGACAGTTAAAAGTATATTTTCCCCTTATGAAAACTGAGCAGGATAGGAAGGCAATGAGACAGGCTGCTTTCCTTGAAATGCTGTGGGATAGATGTGTCCTTTTAAACAATCAGGAACAAAGTTGTGAGGAAACAGCAATGAGAAGAGATGGGCCAGCTCAGCCTGCCCCTATCCCAATTGTGTTAATTCAGTTCCCACGTTACCTGAAGCTGTTGGGAGCTGTCATTAAGGTTATCCTCTCGTCTCCTGGCCTCCTCCAGCATCTGTGCACTCTTCTTTTTCTCCACTTGTTCTTTGTGCTTCAGATTTGCTACTTTCTTATTCTGATCTTTAACTTGCCTGCAAAAGACAGGAGCACTCAGAGTGTGGTCCAGAGCTGCTTCCATCAGCCCTGGTGCCAGGCCAGGGGACAGGCAGCACCAAACTCATCCTCCAGCATCACCCTCAACTGTTACAAAAGCATTATTTAGTATTATTTATTTATTTACTTATTTATTTACTTCTTTATTTATTTATTATTTATTTATTTACTTATTTATTTACTTATTTATTTATTTAGTTATTATTTTTTTATTTATTATTTATTATTTATTATTATTTATCATTTACCATTTACAATTTATCATTTATTATTTATTATTTTTTGTATAGATATTATTATTCACTACACATTATTCATTAATATTATTATTCCTTAATATTAATCAAAAGATGCACCTGTCCTCTTCTGACTTTGGGGAATAAAACTCTTCTCTGCACACACACACACACATGTACACATAAAACCACAGACATCTAATAACCTATTTTGTTTTGGGACCACTGTATCTAATGTGAGGGAAACAGGAGGAGTGAAAGGAAAAACTACTGGATTTACTAAATAAAAAATACTGAAACGTGACTTGAATATAGAGGATTACAATTAGGCAATCTGTTTCCAGAAGCAAAACAATTTCTTTCCAAACTCAAGATCTATCCATTTTCCTGATATTTTGAGGGATTTCCCATCCCTTCTTTTTTACACAAACAAGACACAACAAGTAAGAACAAACTGTTTGAGGACGTGTGTGTATAATTTCCTTTTCACTTGCATCTATGGACTATTTTTGATGATCCTGGCAGCAACCATTGCCTGCAGCCAGGGTTTGGCCTTTCAGGGCATTAAGACACATGGAGTATTGAATCTAATTACAGACCCTTTAATCTCAGCCTCCTGACCACAGAGAACTTCAGTCTAAACTTTTGGTCCAATCTAAACAAAACAGGCTAGCTTTGCTTCCTCAGCCCTTTTCTCCATAATTATACCTGGAGTTTGGATTTTGGAATAAGAGACAGATTCTTTGGTTGCAAGATTTCCCCAGAACATCATGCAAGTAGTGGAGATGGCTCTTTAATTTAGTGTTTAGAAAGCAGAATGATATACCAGCTTCAGATCTGGTATGTTATCCACACAGACAGGGAAGAATGTTTCTTCTGTATTTCAGAAATACTTTTAGAACAGATGACAAACAACCCTTCCTTAATATTTTCTTCAGAACTCACAACAGAAGTATGATCAAGAGCATATCTCTTTGTGATATATTTATGTTCAAATTATGTGCCATATGACCAGTCAGCGTTTTGAGTTCCTCCAAAAACACTTAGGTTCAGCTCTGAGCTCTGCTTTTTTCCAGTGCAAGCCAACTGAGGCTGGGAAAAATTTCCTTTTTTCAGCAAGTTTTCCTTGGTGCTAAAACAAACCATGAGGGTGAAAAAGCGCTGATGGCCTCTAGAGACCGAGAAAAAAGGAAAGTCCTTTTCTGAGGATGTTAAAAGATTATTGGCATATTTAACTACCCTGTCCAGGAGTTCCAGCTGATTTGAGTCAGGATGCTTTTCAAACACAACCAGTGTAATTGTTGAGTTATTCTAACCCAGTGCTGGCACTGGGCACATTGCCCAGTTTGAAAGCAGACTTGCTCAGTGATTAAACAACTTATTGGAAATATTATGCTGGCACCAACTCAGCTTGTACAATACATGGTTCTATTTGTCCAATAAAATAAACACAGAAAGTACAGCTAAATCGATGCAGAAAATGAAAATATGTCAGTCCAACACTTTCAATTCCATATGAGAATTTTTACTTGACTTTTAAATTAAAATTAGAAAATTAAGATTTATTTTTTTTTATAGATTTGTAAAGACAGGTTCACATATTGGGAAAATTATCTTTATTACTATAACCACCTAGTTAGATAAGACAATATAATAAATATAATAAATATATTAATAACAATATTAATAAAGCCCCAACCCTCATCAAAATATGTCTGAAATCGATAATCTCCTACACTGTCCAAAATATTTTCAAACAAGTATTTCAAAGAGAGGAGTAATTATAAAGATATGTAGTACTGACATTTTCCTTCTCATGTCTGAACCAAAATTAATGACATTCTAATATATTAGGTAGATGTTTTGAGACAAAGATAAGCTTTATTAAAGTTAAATCTGGAAGTTACCTAGTGTTTGTGATACTGAGATCAATCTTCACAAAACCTTCTACTAGACCAGGTTGCTCCATTTAACCTGGCTTTGAATCATGTGCAAGATACAACTATCCCTCTGTATCTCTGATGTCAAAAAGGAACAAAAGTTGGGCCATAAACTTTTCAAACAATGCAGGTATCAGTGGCATTAACTAAAATTTCCCAAATTGTTTAATTGTATAAATCTGAGACGGTCACGTGAAACTCCAAATCCATAAACCTAAAAAGGCTTGGAGTAATTTGAGACATGAAAAACACATTTCATCTCATCTCAATGCCTGTGGTAGCAATGAAAATTCTCACTTTTACAATCCCTCATGCAGAGAATCATGCAAAAGGTTCAGCACACACAAGTCCACAGCCCTTGGACGTTTGCACAGTGAAAGTTCAGTGGAGCTCTGAAGATTTCGTACTGTGGTTCTGTAAGGAATGCTCTTCCTTCTCTGCCAGATAACTTCCAGTCTTCAAAGCCAGTCACAGAATCATCTTTTCATATATGCAAACAATCTCTTAAAATATTTAAATACTTACTCATATTTTTAATATCAAGAGACCTCTTGATAATAATGGCTTATTAGTTATCACCCCATTAACTGCTCAGTGAGACAGTTCTGTTGCTATTTTAAACACTGCAGTGCTACTGCTGATTGTTCTAAACAATTTCATCTTCACACCACCACTGAACAATGTGCACAACTGGACCACAAACTGAACTGGCACAATAAAATAAAATACAGAAGGATGTGACTGAAGTCAGCGTGCTGCAACTGGGACATTTTATGAGGAGGAAATTTTTTCATAATATATGTGCATAAGGAAGCTTGTTAGGAAGAAAGAAACAGAAAGGAAGAAACAAAGCTCTGTAACTCCCTCAGTTTGAGAGCTCAATTTTGTAAGCTTGATGTTCTTTTAACTCTTTTGAATGCAATTGCACAAATATAGATATAGATTGATTTAGAACACAGATCCCTATCAAAGGGACAGTTAAGTTTAAAAAAAAACAACCTTACTCTCTGAGAGTATTTTTATTAAAACTGGAAAAATCTGCACAAGATTAAAGATAGTAAAAAGAGAATGACTTATGTACAATGATGGCAAGAGCTTAGAGGTTTATGAATGTTTCTAGAATGCACTACTGTTTGAATGTACAGCAAACAGCAATCTGCAATGTGCACGTGGGCTTCTCATCCAAAATAAAGAGCTAATGAGAGACACATTAAATATTACCATAAATACACATTCCTACCAAAACATCTCTGCAAAACAGGACTGCAAAAGAGAGAAAGGATTCTGGCAATTTTAATTAAAGGTGGAGAGCCAGGTCACGTTCAGTGAGATAAAGCTTTGAAGAAGGTATCAGCTGGAACCAGCAGAAACAATAACAAAACTAACAAGAGCAAAAGGACCTCATCCCAAAAGATGTTTATTCTCAGAGTCACCTCAAATCCAATAACAAAAATGTTATAGTCGTATATAAAAGAAGAAAAATCGAATGAGAAAGTTTATGTTGAATTACAGTGAAGAATCCCACTCATTTTAGAAATCACAATTTCTTTTGCATTTTTAATAGCAATTTTAAGGTAACTATCCTTTTTTGAGAGTCCAGCTGCAAAAGCATTTTGCCCTCAAAAGTGAAAACTCTTTTCCATTATTTTGAATTTTTCTCCATTTCACAGTAAGTCACACCAAGTACTGTTACAGTGTAATGTATTAGATACAAGGAAGTAGAATCAAATTCAGGTTTCTGATTTAAAAACATATGCTCCAAAGTGTTTCAACTAAAGGCAGGCCAAGATATTCAGAATAAATCATTTCACATCCCTTGATTTTGGGTGCCCGGTTTAGGCCATGTGCCTGATGAAAAAATCCCCTGAGATTTCCTAATTTGAACACTGAAACCAACTGTTAATGTCCATGGCTTTACTCTTTCTTTAATAAAACAAAATAAAACAAAAAATCACTTTTAAGAAGACACACCTTTCCACTTCTCTGTGAAATTCTTGAATTTCCAGTGATGAAATATAGCCCAAAACCACAGGGAATAAAGTCAAACAATCACAATAAGCAATAAAAATTTTCAGATGCAAAGATTTCCCATTTTAAAATGATTTCAGAAGAGGAAGACAAATACAAACAATAGAAGAGCAGTGGAGCACCAGGCACTCCTGCAAAGTGGCAAGTGACTTTGTTACCCATCTCTCCTTGGCAAGACCTTTCCTCACTAAGACCAGTTGAAACACAGGCCCTTTAATTTATTAGTGCTTTCATGAAATCATTTTTTTTCTGTACTAATGTCAGTATTTTTTTTCATTTTGACACTAATCTCATTGTCTTTTACTGTAATGTACATCAGCACACATACAGCTGCTAATTCTCTCCTCCTCATATGGATTTTCATGATACACATTAAGCTATTATCTGCATCTGGTTATCTTTTCTGATGTAATTTCAGATGTTATTCTTGTGAAAGAGAAGTTCATAAAATGTTAACTGAAAATATAAGTTAATTTGAATTTTAATATTATATTTTATATATATGAATATATAAAAAGTATATATATACTTTTCCTTCACATTTATGTGGCTAACACACAACAGTTTTTTTTTAGAACAATCCAGGTTAAGCAAATATTTAAAATGCTTTAAACCACCACAGAAAACAGAACCTGCAACAAGAAATGTCCACACACACAGGTTGTATTTCACAGTGAATGAGGAACAAACCCTGCTACAGAAAAAACCTCGTTTGACTCATCTGGCTGACAAATATTTCATGTCAGAGGCATTGCTGAGCTCGAGCCCTCACTG